GAATCTACTACCACTTTTGCTACTACCAAAGGGCGGCTCTGGAGCCACCCTGAAAGGTCAGAGGTGTGCCTAACAGTCTCTCGTGTATTAGACCACTATGTTTTGACTGGTGTTTCTGTGATTAGTCCATCTGCTGTCCTGTACATGGGTGGAAATGTGTAGACCCGGCGAAGGCTGGCAAACCTTCACCCGCCCTCATCGCAGCCCTGCCCCCATGATGTTATCAGCTGTCAGATGCTGTCAGCCCCGGGGTAGGGAGACTGGGGTAAACTGGGCTTCTAATACCCAGCTGGGTCCTCAGAATTCCCTCAGTGACGAATAGAAGGTCCCAACATGGTGGCTCATGCTTGTAATCCCAGCATTTTGGGAGGCTGAGGCGGTGGATCACCTGAGGTTAGGAGTTCGAGACCAGCCCGGCCAACATGGTGGAACCGCGTCTCTACTATAAATACAAAAAGCAGCTGGGCGTGGTGGTGCACGCCCATAGTCCCAGCTACTCAGGAGGCTGAGGCAGGAGAATCGCTTGAACCCAGGAAGCGGAGGTTGTAGTGAGCCAAGATTGTGCCACTGCATTCCAGATTGGGCCATAAAACAAGGCTCTGTCTTAAAAATAAATAAATAAGGCTGGGCACAGTGGCTCACACCTGTAATCCCAGCACTTTGGGAGGCCGAGGCAGGCACAGTGGCTCACACCTGTAATCCCAGCACTTTGGGAGGCCGAGGCAGGCACAGTGGCTCACACCTGTAATCCCAGCACTTTGGGAGGCCGAGGCAGGCACAGTGGCTCACACCTGTAATCCCAGCACTTTGGGAGGCCGAGGCAGGCACAGTGGCTCACACCTGTAATCCCAGCACTTTGGGAGGCCAAGGCAGGTGGATCACAAGGTCAGGAGTTTGAGACCGGCCTGGTCAACATAGTGAAACCCCGCCTCTACTTAAGATACAAAAAATTAGCCAGGTATGGTGGCATGCACCTGTAATCCCAGCTACTCAGGAGGCTGAGGCAAGAGAGTCGCTTGAACCCAGGAGGCGGAGGTCGCAGTGAGCTGACATTGCACCATTGCACTTCAGCCTGAGTGACAAGGCAAGACTCCAACTAAAAGAAAAAAAAAATAGAAGGAAAGTGGGAGGGAGCAATGCTGTGTTTGCAGAGGAAAAGGAAGGTCAGGTGAGCTCCAGCAGTGCCTTTGCTGGGAGGTTTCAAGCTACCGACCAGCTCAGTGGAATTTGGAGATCTTGCGGAAAGAAATCAGAGGGGAAAAGGAGAGAGACAGAAAGGGAAAGGAGGAGAGAGAGAATTGTGTTGGCCGCAGCTCGGGATTTATTTATTGTACTTGCTGTTGACTGAGCCCACTCCGCAGCAGGCAAGGGGCCTGTAAACACACAGGCTGATTCATTAGTTTCTGACCATCTGCTTCCCGGGCTGGGGTGGGGGGCCGGAGGGCCCTGTAGGTTGGTGCAGCCCACTTGAATCCCCCATCTCCAGCCGGAGCCAGCTGTGTCAGTCTTCCCAGTGACAGACAGGCCGGATGCAACTGGGGGTTTTGAGGGATACCTTGCCCCCCCAACCCCCATCCGGCAGAACCCACCAGGGGCCTGGGCAGGGCAGGGCTAGGCAAGGCAGGAGGACAAAGAGAGAGCAGGGAAAAGGTGAAGTGTGGGGGGCTCAGCAGTTGTGGGTTGACAGGAATACTATCAACACTCAACAGGAGATATGTCAATATCACTGTCATTTTATTAATAGCTAATTAATATGATATAATAAGTATAGTTTAGTGAGTGGTTACTGACATCCAGGCCCGATACGGAGACCTCACTACACTGTCCCCAGTAAGCACATTAACAACTCTGTGATGGATGATGAGGGAACTGGGTTCAAAGATTGAGTCAAGTCAGGAGGGCCTCCTGGAGGAGGCACATGTGGGAGGGCTCTGAAAACCAGGGGGAAAGAAGTGGCCAAAGGGGTACAAGCTCTGAAGTGGAAGGGGACGAAGTGGCCTGGGACATGGCACAGCTTCAGTGCTGGGTTGATAACAGCTTTCTGGGTAGGTGAGGCAATGTGATGCCACTTGGTGTCAGCATACTGAGAAACCAGGCTGGTGGGGGAGGCCCCAGAGAGAGTGTCTGGGAAAGTCATCAGAAACTCACAGTTTGGTGCTACCCCTCTGAGCCAGTCCTCCCGACTGTTCCCTCTTCATTCACTTGGGATGAGGCAGGTCTGAGTCAGCTCTGGCCACCATAACAAAGTACCACACGCGGCCACCATTCAGCCCCTAGGAAGGCCCCAGGGGCAGCAGAAGCAGCACTGGGACTTTGGGAAGGGGGTACTGGCTGGGCTATAGGAAGGGGGCCATGTGCCTGGGTGTCAGAGCCCAGGTGCAGGCTCCTGGAGCACCTGCCCGTCACTCCTCCTCCCAAGTGAGACAATCAGAGCGCATTCTGCAGCCGGGCTCAGAGCGCCCCTCCTGCTGCCAGTTCCCTCACGGATCAAGCCTGCCTCCTCCAGCCCAGCACCTGCCACTCTCTCAGGCCACTGTGCCATCCCCATGGCCTCTCAGCCCCTCATCATTCCAGGCAGCAGCACAGGACAGGGCGTGTCTTGCCCAGAGTCACCCAGCCAGAGAGTGAGGGAGCTGGGACCCCCCCATATCCCTCTGCTGTCCTGGAATGGTGTGCTCACCAGTGGCGTGGATACACTGATGGTAACAGCAGGCGCCTCCTCAGAGGTGCTGTCCGCTCTCCAGAAGGCTGGGGCCAGTCCTGCCCTGACCCGGGCCTCAGTCTCCCCATCTGCTCAAGGAGGTATTGGACTCTATGGTGAGCTCCTGCCACCCTGAGTTTGCATGGGGGACTGAGGACAGAGCTATTTGGGTCAAAGAGAGCTTTGTAGAACCTACATCAATGAAGCAAGGGTCAGCCCTGCCCACCAAGGAGCCCCGGGCAGCCGGGCAACCTGTCCTCCATCCTTGAGGATCCAAGCCCAGCGGGCTGAGGCTGCTGCAGCGGTGCCTGGTGGGGGCCGCAGGGGTGCGGCTCGGCCCCTCAGAAGGCGGTGGGCCCCACTTCCCCCATGGGGGCTGAAAGGCTCATTTGAGAGTGAGAGGTTTTAACTCAGATCCAGGGCATTTTGTCTCTGAGCAAACCAGACACCTGAAATATTCATCAAAAAGGGCTGCAAGTGGTCTGGGGCACTGTGTGGTTGTTAGGAACAGTGTTCTTTTTTTTTTTTTTTTTAATTAATAGACTTTATATTTCAAAGCAGTTTTAGATTTAGATTTATAGAAAATTGAGCAGATAGTACAAAAAGTACCTAACCCCCATGCCACCCTCCTCCCATCTACGTCTTACCTCACCTATCATCCACATCTTGCGTTAGGGTGAGATATTTGGGGTTTTGGGGGTTTTCTTTAGAGACAGAGTCTCTCTGTCATTCAGGCTACAGTCCAGGGGTGCAATCACAGCTCACTGCAGCCTCAAACTCCTGGGCTCAAGCAGTTCTCCTGCCCCAGCCTCCCAAACAGCTGGGACCACAGGTGTACACCGCTATGCCCAGCTAATTTTTAAATTGTATTGTAGATACAGAGTCTCGCTGTGGTGCCCAGGCTGATCTTGAACTCCTGGCCTCAAGTGATCCTCCCACTCCTGCCCGCTGAGTAGCTGGGACCACAGGCGCATGCCACCACCCCTAGTTTATTTTTTATTGTTTCCCTATGTTTACCCATTTATCAAATTCAGGAACAGCCAGATAGAAGAGACACACAGGGTAAGGGATCAGGGAGGGACCCAGAGCTGCCAGGCCCTCTTTAAGCCCCTCAGTATGTTCACCAACCCTAAGGGTACTGTTGAAAAGGCTCAGGGGCCAGGTGCCATGGCTCACATCTGTAATCCCAGCACTTTAGGAGGCCAAAGCAGGTGGATCAACTGAGGTCAGAGTTCAAGACCAGCCTGGCCAACATGGCTAAACCCTGTTTCTACTAAAAATACAAAAATTAGTCAGGTGTGGTGGTGCACACCTGTAATCCCAGATACTCAGGAGGCTGAGGCAGGAGAATCGCTGGAACCTGGGAGGCATAGGTTGCAGTAAGCTGAAATCACCCCACTGCACTCCATCCTAGGCAACAGAGCAAGACTCCGTCTCAATAAAAAAAATAAAATAATGGCTGAGTGCGGTGGCTCACGCCTGTAATCCCAGCACTTTGGGAGGCCAAGGCGGGCGGATCATGAGGTCAGAAGTTCAACCGGCCAACATGGTGAAACCCCGTCTCTACTAAAAAATATAAAAATTAGCTGGGCATGCTGGCTCCTGCCTATAATCCCAGCTACTTGGGAGGCTGAGGTAGGAGAATTGCTTGAACCGGGACCCTGGAGGCGGAGGTTGTAGTGAGCCGAGATTGCGCCACTGAACTCCAGCTTGGGCTACAGAGCGAGCCACTATCTTAAATAAATAAATAAATAAAAATAAAATAAAATAAAATAAAAGGCTCAGGAAGGTGATTCAGCTAAGGGGTGTTTAGAGAGTCAAGAACGTGAATGGGAATTTTCAAGGCAGAGAGCAGAAGGGCACATGAAGGAGAGAAAATGCCATCTGCAAAGGCTCAGAGGCATGGCAGGCAGGGGCAGGAGGACAGCTGTCCTGGGGAGGCTCAGGCACAGGGTCACCAGGTGTGGGATCAGTATATTACAGAGTCAGGACTTTGTATTCCAGGCAACGGGGAGCCATGGAGGACTTCAGAGCAGGGGATGAACACCCAGCTCCCTGGGTTGTCTGTATTTAGAGTAGAAACAAGTGTGCATTTTCTTGGGATGCCATGGGACTGCACACCTTTGCACGCCTAGGGGAAATGGGCACAAATCTCCCAGCCATGTCTGGGCACCAGAGCACAGGCCCTGTGGCCACAGAGCAGGTGTCTGGGCTCGCAGGCAGGGGCCAGGCTGGGCAGAGGCTTCCCAGGCCGCCCCAAGCATCCAGCACCCACTCTTCCTTTCTCTCCCCGCTGCAGGAGAATCCCTACCTGTGCAGCAATGAGTGTGACGCCTCCAACCCGGACCTGGCCCACCCGCCCAGGCTCATGTTCGACAAGGAGGAGGAGGGCCTGGCCACCTACTGGCAGAGCATCACGTGGAGCCGCTACCCCAGCCCACTGGAAGCCAATATCACCCTCTCGTGGAACAAGACCGTGGAGCTGACAGACGACGTGGTGATGACCTTCGAGTACGGCCGGCCCACGGTCATGGTCCTGGAGAAGTCCCTGGACAACGGGCGCACGTGGCAGCCCTACCAGTTCTACGCCGAGGACTGCATGGAGGCCTTCGGCATGTCCGCCCGCCGGGCCCGCGACATGTCATCCTCCAGCGCCCACCGCGTTCTCTGCACTGAGGAGTACTCACGCTGGGCGGGCTCCAAGAAGGAGAAGCACGTGCGCTTCGAGGTGCGAGACCGCTTCGCCATCTTTGCCGGCCCAGACCTGCGCAACATGGACAACCTCTACACGCGGCTGGAGAGCGCCAAGGGCCTCAAGGAGTTCTTCACCCTCACCGACCTGCGCATGCGGCTGCTGCGCCCCGCGCTGGGTGGCACCTACGTGCAGCGGGAAAACCTCTACAAGTACTTCTATGCCATCTCCAACATCGAGGTCATTGGCAGGTAAGGCCGGGGGAAGCCCTGGATGTCACCTGGAACCCGGCATGTGTTCTGTTATCTGGGACATTAGCAGATACCTGGAATGTTTCCTGATACGTGGAACATTGCCTGGCTCTTGAGATGTTACCTGGTACCCGGGACATTATCTGGTTCTCGAGCTGTTACTTGGTTTCCAGGAGGTTAGGAGCACCGGGGATATTACCTGGTTCCCAGGACATTACCTGGTGTTACATCATAGGGGCTGCCTAGGATGGCCAGGGCTGCTCACACCCAGTGCCTGGCTTTTCCATGGAAGGAAGTGTGTGTGTTGGAGGTGTGGAGGGCAGGAGTGGATCCTGTCTGTGCAGGGCTGGGCTAACTCCTGGGGCTGCCGGCATGAAGTGCTCTGAGGCTGTCCACTGACTCAGTGAGTGGGCTCTCCTGTGCAGGGGTTTCCCAGACCATCCTCAGGCTCCATGATTCCCTAGAAAATCTCACAGAACTCAGCAAAGCTGCTGTATTCACAGTTATGGTTTATGACAATGAAGGATACCGATTAAAATCAGCAACAGGAAAAGGTACACAGGGCTGGGTCCGGGAGATGCCAGGTGCCAGGGGAGTCGTGCAGGCAGCACTTGATTCTCTCTGCAGTGACATGGGACAACCCTTGTGAACCATCGCCAGGCAGGGACGCTTACCAAAGCCTCGGTGTCCAGAGTTTTTATTGGGAGTTGGCGGTGTAGGCATTGCTAATGATGTGGCTGGCCTTTGACTCCAATCCCTCCAGAGGTCGAGCTGACACTACATGGCCCAAGGCCCTCCAATAAATCTCATCATCAGCATAGTCTCTCTGATGCGGATCCCAAGATCCGCAGGCAAACATGGCCACCCTTCTCAGACAGGACACTCCAGGGCTTATAGATTAGAGGTCACCTTGCAGGAGCCAGGCCGGAGTCACACCTTTCTTTGGAATGTGCAGGGTGTGGCCAACCCAGGCCTGCCGAGGCAGCTCTTTCTTGCCCAGCTCTGGAGAAGAATGTGTTCTGGGGACACTTTGAGGAAGGCAGAAGACTGTCATAGAAGATGAAAGCAGCCTTTACCTCCCCAGAACTGTTGAGACTGTGGAGGATGAAATGGTCCTGTGCTCTCCTGGGTCATTTGTTCTTTTGGTGGATAATGTCGTGGTCTGTGGGGCAACACATTCTTCCCTGGGCCATCTGTAGGATGGGGATGGTAACAAGCATACTTCTCTCACTGGATTATGATGGGGGTTAAATGAGTTAAAGTTGGTGAAGCACTCAGAACAGTGCCTGGCACATAATACGTGCTAAAAAAAAAAAAGTGTTTAATAAAAAAATTGGACAAAATAATGGAGTGAGAGGGCTGGGGTGGGCTGAGGGAAGACAGAGTTGAGACCCAAGGGTGCTGGGGCAGTTGGGGCCAGGAGCCTGGCTTAGGCAGGTGCAGGCAGGGGCTGCACCTGGGAATCCCAGCTAGGGCCGTCACTGTTGGCATCTCTCCACTGCAGCCTCTCGGTGCCCACCCAGATCCGTAATTCCTGACAAGTGGAAAAAGTGCTTTGCCATATGGCATGTCAAGCATAATCCTGTTTTTATAAAATATGTAATACGCCTTGTGTATCCTTTCCACGTCTTGAGTAGACATTGGCTGTAAGTGTGTACAGAACCGGGAGAAACGTCATGGGCTGGGGAGAAAGGCTGGAAGCCCGTTTGCCAGCCATGTGCTGTGGTGAGGCCTGCACGGTGAGGCTGGGCAGGGCGCTGCGGTGCCGCTGTTTCCAGCTTGCGTTTGCATTGTGTTTCCCGTTGACAGTGTGTGTGGATTCCAGGTGGGCAGAGGTGAAGGCAGGTCGTTCACGAAGCAGGAGTCAGGTTCAAGTCTAGCAGATGGGAGTGGAACAGGTGCAGACAGGGGCCTGTGGTGCCGACACCCGTGATCTCTAACCCGCCTCCAGTTGGGACAGGATATTCAAAATCAGGAAAGTTCTGGAAACCATCCCTATCAGCCTCTGGGCATCTCTGTGAGCTCTGCCCTCAGGATGCAATTGTCTGGTTGTTACTAGACAGCCCGAAACCCCCAAAATCCCGCAGGGCTGAGAAGCTCAGGGCTGGGAACCACCTCCCCAGGCCTTGTAGGCTCCTGGCCTGTCTTCTGACCTTGGGCTGCTCAGGAAACCTTAATGTTAACGCAGCTATTCAAGGACCCTGCCTTCCATTTCATAAGGTGGCTCATGCAGGGCCCTCAGGTCTGGGCCAGCTACAGGGTCCAGACTAGGACGGTGACAGTCAGGGCCTGGTGGTGCCCTTTCAACCCCAGCAGGGTGACCTCGGGTTCAAACCCCGCCCCTCTGCACACTGCTTCGATTTCCCATCTGTGACAAGAGGCCTCAGGCTGCCTAGAACCGACGTCTCCCTGTAGGTGGTTCCCCTTGGCACCCAGCCTCCTCGGGCGGCGGGGAGGAGCCGAGGTGGTGGCGAAAGTATGCAATCAATTCACAGAGAGAGTGAGCACTCTTCAGGCGGGAGCTTGGCTTGTTGTTGGGTTGGGTGGGGTTAGACATTTCAGCCAAGACGGAGGCCTCTTCCCCTTTTCCTTCTTCAGTTCACCCTGAGAAAGCCCAGCCGTGCTGAGAAGCCAGAGATGCAGGACTGGTGGCAAAGGGGGATGTGGGACCCCAAGTTCCTGAGTGAGCACCGGGGACCCCTGCGGGTTCCCAGGCTCTGGGATCTCACACTGAACCTGTTCTGGGGATTCCCTCAGAATTTCATGGCTAGGATGTTAACCAGTGGCTCTGCTGTGGCCCACTAAGAAGAACGTCAAATGTTTATCGAGCTTTTGCTACGGGTTCGTTTGCAATTGAGCGCTGTTATTAATGGCTTCATGTGTATTTTCCTGTTTAATCAATAGCCGTTTAATTCTCCCATGGTTATTGGATGGCTCAGATCCCACAAGCCAAGGACACAGCACTGAGCAAGCCGGACCTGATCCCCACCCCCTGGAGCTCTCCCTGCAAGGGCAGTACTCCCCTCAGCCTCATGTTTTCAGATGAGAAGGCCAAAGCCCAAGAGGTCAGAGAATAGAAGGGGATTGCACAGCTCCACTACAGGGCAGACGGCCAACAGCCAGACCCAAGCGTGTGCAGGCTCAAGATGGACTCAGCCACCGAGCTGTGTGGCCCAGTGGCTGCTTCATTTCTGGTCCCAGCTCTGATTGGAGCCCTCCTGGACCTTAGGCAGCCTGCATGATGGGGCAATGCCATAGGACCCTCCTTCCAAATTTATGGTTCTTTGATGGGTGGTGGCTCTCTGCTCTGCCATCCATGTAGGCTGAAGGGGGAGGACAGAGGCACCTGGCTGCGGAGGAGGAGCTGGAGCAGCTGCAGCCAGCCCAGGGCCCTGGAAAGGAGGGGCTGGTACAAATGATGAGGGGGACGAGAGGTGGAGACTGACCAAGCTGCAGCCCCACGGGGCGGGGGGCAGGTGCAGCGGCGGTGGCTCTGAGAAAAGCACAGGCTCCCGCAAGTCCCAGCCACGCCCCTCCCTGCCTCCCGCCGCCTGCTCCACGTGCCCATTCCTGGAAGGCAGGAGGGGGCGGGAGCTATTTTCCCCTTCCACACATGGGAAGACTCAGGTGCAGAGCCGGGAGAGTGGCTGGCTTCAGACTGTGCGGCAAATCTGGGGCAGAATCTGGATTCGAGGAGGAATGAGATCATCTCTTTGTGGTGCTTGGAGTGGGAGGGGCCTCCGCCCCCACCCGACACACGACCATTAAGAGAAGCGGGGCCCAAGCCTGACCCAGCATCTCCCAGGAGAGCTGTTTAAGACAGGATTCCCCAGCCCCAGCACTGAGAGCTTTGGGACCGGGCGGTTTGGCATGGGGTCGGGAAGGTTGCCTCTGCAAAGCTCCTGGAGTGAGCTGGAGAGGTGGAGCAGCCGCATCCATGGGGATGGATGACCATAACCTGCTGGAACCTCAGTTTTCTCATCTGCAAAATGGAGAAATAGTAATGACCTCAGCTGGCTGTTGTGAGGAGTCAATGAAATGCTGTATTCAGAGAGCTTATCCCAGTGTCTCATTCCCCTGGTTAGACAGTGGGAGAGGGAAGGGGGAGAGGCTTGGGGCCACGGCTGCCTAGATAGGAGGCCATCACTGCACCCACCCCAGGTACTAGAGCTTAGAAAGGGAGTGTGGAAGTATGCCTTCAGGTTCATGGGGGTTGCAGTCCCAAATGTCTAGAAGCTGGGAACACAACTTATGTGGAAGCCAGGCATGGTGGTGTGTGCCTGTAGTCCTAGCTACTTGGGAGGCTGGGGCAGAAGGATTACTTGAGCCTAGGAGGTTGAGGCTGCAGTGAGCGACAATGGCACCACAGCACTCCAGCCTGGGTGACAGAGACAGATCCTGCCTCTAAAACAATAATAAATAAATTCAAATAAATAATAAAAATAATGAGAAGAAGGTAATATATATGGGTGACCAGCAGAAGCGATAGGGAAGGGTGTGGTCTGGGGAGAAACGGAGACAGCAGGCCCCTCATAAGACAGCAGACCAGATGTTCCAGTTCTGCAGTTACAAAGGGAGGTGCACAGCAGTGTCCATAATTAACTCATTCAGGAGCCACCGTGCTGTTCTCCGTTGTGGCTGCACCATTTCGTTCCCACCAGCAATGCATGAAGGTTCCGATTTTTCCACATCCTTGCCAACACTTGTTATTTCTTGCTTTTCTGATCATAGCCATCCTCATGGGTACATCCATCCATTTTGTTTTCATTGAGATGGGGGTCTCACTATATTGCCCAGGCTGGTCTTGAACTCCTGGGCTCAAGTGATCCTCCCACCTCAGCCTCCCAAAGTGCCAGGATGACAGGCACGAGCCACCGCACCCAGCCCTTCCATTTATATCTCAATCTCCTGGCCTCAGGTTCCTCATCTGTGTCATGGGGACAATAATCCTCACAGGATAGGACTGAATGAGGAGATGCACATAAAGGACTCGGGATGCT